GCGGGGAGGGTCAGAGGGAGAAGCAGACTCCCCGCTGAGCAGGGAGCCTGATGCGGGACTCGATCCTGGGACTCCAGGATCATGACCTGAGCTGAAGGCAGTCGCTCAACCAACTGAGCCACCCAGGCGCCCTCTTTTATTTTTTAAAGATTTTATTTGAGAGAGAGAGCACACGCATGCGTGTGTGCACGAGAGGGACAGAGAGAGGGGGAGAAGCAGACTCCCTGCTGAGCAGAGAGCCCCACGTAGGGCTTGATCCCAGGGTCCTGGGATCATGACCTGAGCCAAAGGCAGACGCTTAACTGACTGAGCCACCCAGGCGCCCCCCAGCTCATGATATTTTCAATTTACAATGGATTTATCTGGATGTAATCCCATCACAAGTGCAGGAAGATCTGTATACTGACTAATACCTCAACTTCATTTTTTTAAAAAAATTATTTATTTATTTAAAGATTTTATTCATTTATTTGAGAGAAAGCGAAAGCAAGAGAGATCGCAGAGGGAGAGGGAGAAGCAGACTCGCTGCTGAGCTGAAAGCCCGATGTGGGGCTTAATCCCAGGACCCTGAGATCATGACCTGAGCCAAAGGCAGATGCTTAACTGACTGAGCCACCCAGGTGCCCTGATACCTCAACTTCAATGTGAATAATTAACTAACCAAAGTAATGGGGGCAAGGGTGAAATCACAGCATCAGTATTAATATCATATTCTATTAGAAGTTTGCATAGTAAAGTCACATGATTGAAAAAACTGCTTCTATTTCAGGCCATGTGGTGAAAGTATCGACAAATAGAGTAAACAGGTCATCAGTAAAAACGATAGATCCCAGATAATATTAAAACCTAAAATTCTGTTCTTAAGTAATTAAAATTGGCTGAATTTGTGTGATTGAAAATCTAAATCATAATTAATTCACACTGAGTCTTTAAAAACAATGGGAATGGATAGGAGTTATTGATTTGTAATTGCTAAAAATGACAACTAGAGAAATTTATGCTGTCAATTTTTTTAACTTATAGAAAACCATCTGAAAATATTGTACATGCTTTGATAAATAATAAACTAAGCTTTACTTAAAATTAAGCTTTGACCTACTGGTAGTTACCAAGGGAATCAAAAAAATGTTTAACTTTTTCATTCAAAAAGTCATACAGATGGCAGTGTTTCATTATTTTCCTTTTGAAGTACACATTAAGAAAGGCAGGAGAAAGATGGAGATGGAAAATGAATGACTATTTCTTGGGAATATTTTTGGCCTTTATCAAACAACTGTACCATTTATTATAGCTGCACAAGGTGCTATGATTCTAAAGACAGTTTAGTAGGCTAATTATTATTTAAAAGTTTAAATGAAACCATCAGTGTGGTACAGGGTGGCTTCAATCTTTCCACTGGGAAATAAAAACATTCCAAAGACTAAAAATTTTAAAGATGAGATTAAGATAGTAGTCTTAAATCTATGATGTAACTAGTAATGTCTTGTTATAATAATGTTATTTCAACATGTTCAAAACTAAGGATTTCTTCCCAACTATGTAGGTTACTCTCACTTTTGCTTTTCTCCAGAGCAGAAGAAACTCTTCCATATAGTTGTAGCTTAGAAATACTTTATTTTTTTAAAGATTCTATTCATTTATTTGAGACAGAGAGCCAGAGAGAGGGCATGAGCAGAAGGGAGGGGCAGAGGCAAAAGCAGACTCCCCAATAAGCAGGGAGCCCAACATGGGGCTCGATCCCAGGACCCTGGGACCATCACCTGAGCCAAAGGCATATGCCTAACCAACTGAACCATCCAGGCGCCCTGCTTAGAAATACTTTAAATTACAGATTTGGGTTTTGAGAAAAGAATTAAGTAGCCTAGTTACATTTATATTTACTCCAGTACTCCATTTATATTTCACTTATTTAAAATGATGGGAACTGAAAACCAAAGACCCCACCTAAAAGGAGAATTACAGACCAATATCCCTGATGAACATGGATGCAAAAATTCTCACCAAGATACTAGCTAATAGGATCCAATAGTACATTAAAAGGATTATTCACCACAACTAAGTGGGATTTATTCCTGGGCTGCCAGGGTGGTTCAACATCTGCAAATCAACCAATGTGATACACCACATTAATAAAAGAAAGGACAAGAACCATATGATCCTCTCAACAGATGCAGAAAAAGCATTTGACAAAATACAGCATCCTTTCTTGATAAAAACTCTTAGCAGTGTAGGGGTAGAAGGAACATACCTCAAGATCATCAAAGCTATATAGAAGGACCCACAGCTAATATAATCCTCAATGGGGAAAAACTGAGAGCTTTTTCCCTAAGGCCAGGAACATGACAGGGATGTCCACTCTCACCACTGTTGTTCAACATAGTACTAGAAGTCCTAGCCTCAGCAATCAGACAACAAAAAGAAATAAAAGAATAAAAGGCATCCAAATCGGCAAAGAAGTCAAACTCTCACTCTTAGCAGACAACATGATCCTCTATGTAGAAAACCCAAAGACTCCACTCAAAAATTGCTAGAACTCATACAGGAATTCAGAAAAGTTGCAGAATATAAAATCAATGCACAGAAGTCAATTGCATTTCTATATACTAACAATGAGGCAGAAGAAAGAGAAATCAAGGAATTGATCCCATTTACAATTGCACCAAAAACCGTAAGATACCTAGGAATAGGTATTCCTAACCAAAGAGGTAAAGGATCTGTACTCTGAAAATTATAGAACACTTATGAAAGAAACTGAGGGAGACACAAGAAATGGAAAAACTTTCCATGCTCATGGATTGGAAGAACAAATATTGTTAAAATGTCTATGCTAACCAGAGCAATCTGCACATTCAAACCAACCCCTATCAAAACACCATCAGCCTTTTTCATGGAGCTGGAACAAATAATCCTAAACTTTGTATGGAACCAGAAAAGACCCTGAATAGCCAGAGGAATGTTGAAAAAGAAAAGTAAAGCTGGCGGCATCACAATTCCGGACTTCAAGCTCTATTACAAAGCGGTAATCATCAAGACAGTATGGTACTGGCACAAAAACAGACACATAGATCAATGGAACAGGATAGAGAACCCAGAAATGGACCCTCAACACCATCGTCAATTAATCTTTGACAAAGCAAGAAAGAATACCCAATGGAGGAAAGCAGATGGAGTGCTGGGTCCGGCACAGGTCTGACAAAATCAAAGCTGCAAGAGAATGGACAGTGAGGTACAGAGAGATGGAAGGATCTTGGACTTGACTGATGATGCTTGGCAAGAAGACAAGCTGCCATATGAGGATGTTGCAATACCACTGAATGAGCTTCCTGAACCTGAACAGGACAACGGTGGCACCACAGAATTTGTTAAAGAACAATAAATGAAGTGGACCGACTTGGCCTTACAGTATCTCCATGAGAATATTCCCCCTATAAGGAAACTAACACCCGGCTCCTTCTTCATGGACAGATTTTTGAAAAATATATAGATACAAAATGTTAAAAAAAAAAAAAAAGAATATCCAATGGAAAAAAGACAGTCTCTTCAACAAATGGTGTTGGGAAAAATTGGACAGCCACATGCAGAAGAATGAAACTAGACCGCTTTCTTACACCTTACATAAAGATAAACTTAAAATGGATGAAAGACCTAAATGTGAGAGTGGAATCCATCAAAATCCTAGAGAAGAACACAGGCAGAAATCTCTTTGACCTTGGCTGCAGCAACTTCTTGCTAGACACGCCTCCAAAGGAAGGGAAACAAAAGCAAAAATGAACTTTTAGGACCTCATCAAAATAAAAAGCTTTGCTCAGCAAAGGAAACAGTCAACAAAACTAAAAGACAACCTACAGAATGGGAGAAGATATTTGCAAATGTCTTATCAGATAAAGGGCTAGTAACCAAAATCTATAAAGAACTTATCAAACTCAACCACCAAAAACCAAATAATCCAGTCAAGAAATGGGCAGAAGACGTGAACATACAAATGGCCAACAGGCACATGAAAAGATGTTCAACATCACTCAGTATCAGGGAAATACAAATCAAAACAACAATGAGATACCACCTCACACCGGTCAGAATGGCTAAAATTAACAAGTCAGGAAACAACAGATGTTGACAAGGATGTGGAGAAAGGGGAACCCTCTTACACTGTTAGTGGGAACGCAAGCTGGTATAGCCACTATGGAAAACAGTATGGAGGTTCCTCAAGAAGTTAAAAATAGAGCTACCCTATAACCCAGCATGTGCACTACTAGATATCTTTCCAAAGGATACAAACATAGTGATTCGAAGGGGCACCTGCACCTGATGTTTATAGCAGCAATGTCCACAACAGCCAAAATATTGAAAAAGCCCAGATGTCTATCAACAGATGTATGGATAAAGATGTGGTATACATATACAATGGAATATTACTCAGTCATCAAAAAGAATGAAATCTTGCCATTTGCAATGATGTGGATGGAACTAGAGGATATCATGCTAAGCGAAATAAGTCAGTCACAGAAAGACAAATACTGTATGATTTCACTCATATGTAGAACTTAAGAAACAAAACAAATGAACATAGATGAAGAGAAGGAAAAATTAAATAAGATGAAAATTGAAAGTGAGGCAAACCATAAGAGATGCTGAACTCTAGGAAACAAACTGAGGGTTGCTGGAGGGAGGGGGTAAATGGGTGATGGGCATGAAGGAGGGCACTTGATGAAATGAACACTGAGTGTTATATGCAACTGATGGATCACTAAATTCTTTCCCTGAAACTAATAAAAAAATAATAGTAAAAAAAATAAAATAAAATTATGGGAACTCATATTAAGTGAAAAAGTGTTAATAAAGGCTGGACAAATCACTTTATCTCTCTGTCCCCAAGCTTGTCTCCAGAATGAGGCTAACACTGAAGAGAATTTTTAAAAATCATGTAACATACTTGGTACATATAAGTATTCAATAAATGTTAGTTAGCTCTATGGTTATACAATAAAATGGTTACTCACTCTTTTGTTGAGACAAATAACAGGCCACAGGCTGCAACCCAGGGTGCAACAGCAGCAGAGACAACCACATAGCAGCCATTTCACATTGACTGGGAGAGCCTTTTTCAAACATGCATTCACACGGCCAATGCTGGTCTTAAATTCTTCTGGGGCCACCTATAACAAGGGCGCAATCTTTATTTAACAGTTTGTGGGCAGCTTTTCACTATTTATCTCTAAACCTAAAGAAAATGTTTGTCTTTTACAAATACTTCAAGGAATTACACGTCTAAATAGATTTCCTCCTTTTATGTATTACATACTCTTGGATGACATTAGAAAGCAAAACAATATAATTTCGTGTTTACAGAACTTATTCTGATGTTCAAAAATAATCTTCTGAAATTACCAGCATTAAAAGGACAACAAAATTGGTGGTAAAGAATACCCGTCAAGCAGTTTTTCTACCAAATATTCTCATTATTCAGGCAATATTATAGTCTCCAATCATTCTGACTAGTAAGACTAGAAGCATAGTGTAACAATAAAAACCTAAATACTATCAGAGGAAATGGAATTAAAATTAGGCTTTGGCAATATTCCTGGATTACTTTTAAATAGGCAACTCTTGACACTTTTCTCCCTGGCAAATTTGCGGTGTAACAATTTTAACACTTGCCATTGTTTGTAGGGAAAAGCTATACTAATAAGACAGTGAGGAGTAATTACATTTTAAAAAAAGGGTCTTAATATTCAGCATAAAATGGACTCAAAAAACTGCTGTAAATTTTGAAATTTGAAAGGCCCTTAAATATACAAATTTAATATTTTAATTACTACTTCCATTCCTGGAAGTGGCTGCTTGTGCCTCTCTATAAACAACGACAAAGTCAGTTCAAAGGCAAGAGCATGACAGGCACAATTAGATTTATACCGAAAACTCTTGCTTGAAGGTTATACAATTCAAAGGCATACTAAAAATTGTTTGCTTTCAGTGAAATCACATTTCTGGATCACTAAAATTATTCCTTTTCATTTAGAAAGCTGTCAGACTGCAAAATCTATGGGAAAAAAATTCCAGCATCTGGCTGTGAAAACAAAAATTATGAAAATATTAGAAAAAATAAGCTGCTATAAAATAAAAACCCCATTAACATGTTCGGTATATAAAATATGGAGCTTTACAACTCTTCCATTAATATGTTTGGCACATAAAATATGGAGCTTTACAACTCTTCCAAGTAAAAACTGTACTAGAGGATTTCAATTTATTACATATCTTAGAATCAACGCTACAAAACATATACCTATTAGCAGATGTTATAAAGATACATGACCAAAGAATTCAGCCCCATCATGAATAAAACATTACTTATACTAGCTTTATTAGAATTGCTCATGCCACCCAATAAAGTTAATTGCTTAACCCATAAATTTGATTTTCTTCCCAATATGTTAACCAACAAATAGTTGTAAAATTGCAAGCTCAAAACTGTTTTTACATGGGTATGTAAACTAATCTATTCTCCAACTAAATTGTTGGCAATATGACCTAAAGACAATCACGGAGTAAAAAGAATTCCAATTAAATGACTAACTTCCTGGGGTAAATATGAAAATAAATTCAGAGAACCACGCCTTATAACTGAAAAACAGAAAATGCTAACAGGCTAAGCATATTAGACAATAAATGAAGATTTTGATTCTAGTTACTTATTAGCTATGAAAAATCATAGGCAAGTTCATTTAATTTTTCTGAGTTTCAGTTTCCCATGTATAAAATGAGAATAATAATCTTTGCCTTATATATCTCACAGAAAATGGAAATCGTATCTTAAAAAGAACCTCATTAATAACAAGAATGCTTTGAAAAAGGAAGCCAGTGAATCCTATCTCTTGATGAGCTTTGAAGAAAGAAAAGCAAAGCTCTCTTTTGCCTGGTCTCACCTGAAGCCAAGGCATTTGATCAGGTAACCATTAATAATCCATGGCCTTGCTATACATTCTATTATAAACAAAAGGCTAAATAGCTACATTTTGTTTTTTAATTTTTCATTTTAATTCCAGTATGTTAACATACAGTGATATATTAGTTTCAGGTGTACAACAGAGTATTTCAACAGTTCCATACTTCACCCTGTGCTCATAGAGACAAGTGCACTCCTTAATCCCCATCACTATTTCACCCATCCTCCCCTTAACCATCAGATTGTTCTCTATAATTAACAGTCTGTTTCTTGCTTTGTCTTATTTTTTCCCCTTTGCTTGTTTTGTATCTAAAGTTCCACATGAGTGAAATCATATGGTGTCTTTCTCTGACTGACTTATTTCACTTAGCAATATATATACTCTCTAGCTCCATCCATGTTGTTGCAAATGGCAATATTCCATCCTTTTTATGGCTGAATAATATTCCATTGTGTGGATATATCTATATCTGTATCACATATCACATTTTCTTTATCCATTCATCAATTCATGGACACTTACACAGCTTCCATACCTTGGCTATTGTAAATAATGCTGCTATAAACATTGAGGGGCATAAATCCCTTTGAAATAGTGTTTTTGTATTCTTTGGTAAATACCCAGCAGTGCAATTGCTGGATGATAGAGCAGTTCTATTTTTAACTTTTTTGAGGAACTTCCATTGTTTTCCATAGTGGTTGCACCAGTTTGCATTCCCCACAGTACATAAGTGTTCTTTTGTCTCCACATCGTTTTTATACTAGTACCATACTGTTTTGGTAACTATGGCTTTGAAATATAACTTGAAGTCTGGAATTTGATGCCTTCAGCTTTGCTTTTTTTTTCAAGATTGCTTTGGTTATTTGGGGTCTTTTGTGGTTCCAGACAAATTTTAGGATTGTTGGTTCTAGTTACGTGAAAAATGCTTCTGTAGATTGCAATAAATCTGTAGACTGCTTTGGGTAACACAGACATTTTAACAATATTGGTTTTTCCAATCCGTGAGCATGGAATGTCTTTCCATTTCTTTGTGTTGTCTTGAATTTCTTTCATCAGTGATTTATAGTTTTCAGAGTACAGGTCTTTCACCTCTTTGGTTAGATTTATTCTTAGGTGTCTTATTTTGGATGTAATTGTAAATGGGACTGTTTTCTTAATTTCTTGTCACTTCATTATTGTATAGAAATGCAGCAGATTTCTGTACGTTGATTTTGTATCCTGTGACTTCACTAGATTTACCAGTTCTAGCAATTTTTTGTTGGAGCCTTTAGGATTTTCTATATATAGTATCATGTCATCTGCAACTAGTGAAACTTTTACTTCTTCCTTGCTGATTTGGATGCCTTTTATTTCTTTTTGTTGTCTGATTGCTGTGGCTAGGACTTACAGTACTATGTTGAATACAAGTGGTGAGAGTAGACATCCTTGTCTTGTTCTCAGTTTTTCCCCATTAAGGATGATGTTAGCTGTGGGTTTTTCATAGGTGGCCTTTATTATGTTGAGGTATGTTCCCTCTAAACTTATTTTGTTAAGGGTTTTTAATCATGAATGTGCATTTGAAAAGAATGTGTATTCTCCTGTTCTAGGAGGGAATGTCCTGAATATATCTGTTAAATCCTTCTGTTCCAGTGTGTCATTCAAAGCCATTGTTTCCTTGTTGATGTTCTGTTTAGATGATCTGTCCACTTGATGTGTGGTATTAAAGTCCCTTACTATTATTATATTATTATGGAGTAGTTCCTTTATGTTTGTTATTAACTGTTTTATGTATTTGGGTGCTCCTATGTTGGGTGCATACATATTTACAATTGTTATATCTTCATGTTGGATTATCCCCTTTACTATTATATATTGTCCTTCTTTGCTTCTTGTTACAGTCTTTGTTTTAAAGTCTATTTTGTCTGATATAAATGTTGCTATTCTGGCTTTCTTTTGACATCCATTTGCATGTTAAATGTTTTTCAATCCTCTCACTTTCAATCTGTAGGTGTCCTTAGGTCTAAAATGGGCCTCTTGCAGGCAGCAAATAGATGGCTCTTTTTTTTTTTTTTATCCATTCTGTCACCCTGTGTCTTTTGATTGCAGCATTTAGCTCATTTACATTCAAAGTAATTACTGATAGATACATATTTATTGCCATTTTATTACTTGTTTTGTGGTTGTTTCTGAAGCTCTTCTCTGATCCTTTCTTGTCTTTTTTCATGTTTTGTTTATTTTCTTTAATGATATATTTGGATTTCTTTCTCTTTATTCTTTGCATATCTATTAGTGGCTTTTGATATGTGGTTACCATTAGGTTTGCATATAACCCCTTCTGCATATAGCAGTCTATATTTTTGATGGTCATTTAAGTTTGAACACATTCTTTTCTCCTGTCCCCCACACCTTTTAGGTATACGTTATTGTATTCTATATACTTTTTTTTGTGAGTTCCTTGACTTTTTTGCAGAAAAATTCATTTTTACTGCTTTTGTGTTTCCTACTTCTATACTGTCACTTTTGGTTTCTCTACTCAAAGAGTCCCTTTTAATATTTCTTGCAGAGCTGGTTTAATGGTCATGAACTCCTTTAGTTTTTGCTTGTCTGGAAAACTCTATCTCTCCTTGTATTCTGAATGATAGCCTAGCTGGGTAGAGTATTCTTGGCTGCAAATTCTTCCCATTCAGCACTTTGAATATATCATGCTACTCCTTTCTGGCTTGCAAAGTTTCTGTTGAAAAATCTCCTGCTAGCCTTATGGGATTTCCCTTGTAATTTAATGACTTCTCGTGTCTTGCTGCTTTTAAAATTTTTTATCACTATATTTTGCAAATTTAATTACAATATGTCTGTGCGTTGGTCTGCTTTTGTTAATTCTGTTGGGGGTTCTCTGTGCCTCCTGGATCTAGATATCTCCTTCTTTCCCAAGATTGGGGGAATTTTCAGCTCTTATTTCTTCAAATAAATTTTCTGCCCCCCCTTTCTCTCTCTCTTTTTTTTCTGGGATTCCTATAATATGAATGCTATTACATTTGATGGAGTCACTGAGCTCCCTCAGTATATTCTCATTTTGCATAATTCTTTTCTCCCCCTTGTTCAGCTTGATTACTTTCCATTACTTTGTCTTCTAGGTCACTAATTCATTTCTCTGCTTCTTCCAACCTCTGTTCATTCCATCAAGCATGTTTCTCATTTCTTTTTTATTATTATTATTTAAAGATTTTATTTAT